GCATATAAGCACTAAGCCAGCAGTTTTCAGGCACCAGGCGTTCTAAGGTTTAAATCTCATTGCAGTATTTGTGCTCCTCTTTGGTCTCTAGATCCTTCCTCTTGTTACTACTCTTTTTTGTTTTTTTGAGACAGAGTTTCTTTGTGTACCCCTTGCTGTCCTGGAACTCAGAGATTCACCTGCCTCTACCTCCCATGTGCCACCATGCCTGGTTTGTGACAATACGTTTTTAAGTTTGGGTATTACTCAGAAAGGCAGAACACTGCGTCACTGAACATTCCCAATGAACTCATGTGCACCCCAAACCCCTAGCTACCCACCAAGGAAAACAAATCTTGTTAGTAGTGCTTAAAATGTGATTCACTAGGACAGTGTGTCTACACTCTGGGAAACCAGATGTACAATGGTCTTGCTTTCAGAATCCTGATAGCATGGTGTTATTGGAAGGAGGCATCAGGTCATCCCTGTCAATCAAGGCTCTGCCCACCTGCCTTGATTCCTGAGTTTTGAGTCTTAAAACTATAGTGTGCAGGCCTCTGAGCTCCTCACAACCCTAGTTATGCTAACAACGGATCTCCAAAGTAAGGAGGAGCTGATGTCTATAGTTCTTACCCTGGAGGGGCAGGCAAGGGTGCTTTGACTGCATCACTGCTTCCCTGAGAGGCTGCCCCACTCTTCCCATTAAGTCCCTAGCCCCCCTGCCTTGGTCCTGCCCACCTTTACCAGTACTTCCTCCCTACACACTGTTCTGTCTTACAGATCTCTCTGTCAGCTCCCCAGCATGACACTGCAGTACCTCATGATCCTGACTGGCCTCCTGATGGGAGGCACTAGCAGGTCCACAGAAAGCAAGGTGGGTAATTCTGTGCCCAGTGGCAATAAGTTGAAGCCTCCTCAGAGGTAATGGATCCTCATCCCATAAAAATTTTAGCCTTTGAACTTAGTGTTCACTGATGTTAGCCTACACTTACAATCTACCACTAGTGTTGGAAATACCTGAACTTTGCCCATCACCTGTTTTCTGCTTTCTGGAAATTTCTCTGCCAGACCTACTTATTGCTGTAGTTGGCCTAGAGTCTCTGCAGAACCACCCTCCAGAACTGCCTGTGCCCCAGAGTTACCTGCTCAGTTGTTGCTTACTTGGGAATAGGCACACATGGCATTCTGGCTCCCACCAGAAGTAGTTGAATAAAGCCAGTGACACTCCAGTGGGCTGAGTTTTGGTATCTGGAATTGGGGTGCCATTATTCTCTTCAAGCCAGGCAGGATGGAGGCTCACTGGTTGGGGGAATTCCTTACTCACTTGGCCATGGGTACTGAAAGGGATGGCTTGTACACTGGGCCTTGATCTTTCCCATGGTGGTATGATACTCCGCTGTGTCCCTGTTGTCCTTTAGACACTCCTTACTATTAATCAGGCTTAGAGCATAAGAATCTAGTCCTGTCCCACAGGAGACTGTGACAGTAGAATTCTCTGTGTAGCCCTGGCTGTTCTGGAACTCATTCTGTAGACCATGCTGGCCTCAAATTCAGAGATCTGCCTGCCTGCCTCAGCCTCCCAAGTGCTGGGATTAAAGGCATATGTCACCCCCCACAAGGTAGGATTGTGAGTTTAAGACCAGCCTATCCTATATAATGGATACTTTTTTTTTTTTTTTTTTTTGAGATAGGGTTTCTCTGTCTGTCCTGGAACTTGCTTTGTAGACTAGGCCAGCCTCAAACTCAGATCCAGAATGCTGAGATCTAAAGGCATGTGCCACAACCTGGTAAGAGCCCTGTCTTAAATACAAACAAACAGGGTCAACAAGATGGCTCAGCAGGTAAGGGCACATTTTGCCCTTACTCTGAGTTTTGTCCCTGGAATCCACAGAACCCACAGTTGAAGGACTCCCAAAAGTTGTCCTCTGACCCCTGTGTACATACATGCCCATACTATCTATATCTCTCTCTCTCTCTCTCTCTCTCTCTCTATCTATCTATCTATCTATCTATCTACAGACACACACACAATAACAAATGAATTTAAAAAGCTGAATGTTATGGCACATGCCTTTAATACTAGCACTGTAGGCAGAGGCAGGTAGATCTTTATGAGTTTGAGGCCACCCTGGCCTACACAATGAGTCCAAGCCAGCTGAACCTACATAATGAAACTCTGTCTCAAAATAAAGCAAAAATAATAATAGATAAAATTTAGAAATTAAAAATAGAAAAAAGGCAAACTTAATTTAAGTTTTACATTTCTTGAGTGCTTCTATAATGAAGTAAGAACACTTGTGTATTTATGTTAGGGTTTGGGAAGTGGGATATTTCTAAGGAAGTGTGATTGGACAGAGGGTGTGATCTCATGGTCATTAACTAGGGACCTAGCCAGGCTGATGATCAGATTCTTGTCCCTATGACTTCAGAGACAAGGACCTACCCTTTCAATACAGGGAGGGCACTGTTCTATGAGGGCCTTAGCCTTTACTTGAAGGCTGAGCTCTCTCCAGTGTCAAAAGTATTCTATTTTGGGGCATTTTTTTCTGTGCCATACCATGCCAAGGCCCAGGCCCCAGGCCAATTCATTAGGTCTTACCCTTCCTGACCTTTGGGAGACTGGGTAGCTGGTGTTGAATATCCATAGCCAGAATCTAGCCTAACATTTGGTGGCTTATTGAGTCATCAAATATTTACTGCCACAGGTTCTGCATAGTCTAGACTTGGAGCCAGTAGGAGAAGGACCTGTTGGGTAGAGACTCATGTGATATGACAGGAGGGTAGTCCAGGTGCTTATAGAAATATCCCCAAAGGGAGATAGCCCCAACTCTGTTTGTACCAATAACTTCCAGGTTTGGTCTCTATGTATAGGGCTGGTGTTTCCCATCTGCTTTGCCAACATGGCTGCAGTAGTAGTAGAGTAGGAATACTCATTGAAGGGATGCCACTTGACCCTAGAGTGAAGATGGAGTTTCTTTCCAGCAAGATCCCAAACCTGTTTAGTCCCAAATAAACACAGAGGTGTTTGTTATTTGTAAACTGTTTGACTCATGGCTCAGGCTTTTTATTGGCTAGCTCTCTCTTAATTATTAACCCATTTCTATTAATCTAAGTATCTTTACATAGTCTTGACTTACTGGAGAATGTCTGGCATCCTATCTTCCTAGTAGCTCTATGGCATCTCCCTCGAGACTCCTCTGCAGTTCTCCTCTCAGCTTTCTCCTAGTCTGGTAGCCCCGCCCTATCCTTCCCACCTGGCTACATCCTGCCTGTCCATTGGCTGAAATAGCTTTATTCATCAACCAATAAGAGAAACATTCACAGCATACAGAAGGACCTCCACCATCAATAGAGAGTTTGGGATTTATGGGTAATGAGAAAGATAAGATCCTGTTATGATCAATGATGTCCTTGGCATGAGCTAGGTAGGCACTTACAAACCTGTCTCACTGATGTTTCTCCTCTAGGCCCAGCAACCTGAGTGTTGTATGGATGTGGTAGACTTCAATGCTACCTGCACAGGCACAGGCCTATGTGGCCCAGGTAAGTGTCATTGTTGCAAGTAGATAGCAGACTAGTCACCACCCCACCAGCATTCCTAGATGTCTCTTATTCCTCAGTGACAAGACAGCTGAGGGGATGGAGGGACTTGGCAGCACAGGCTGTGGCATTGTGCAAAGGAGGCCTACCTGGGTTTCCTTCTTAAGCAACCTAACCACACCCTTGTCTGGTCCAGGCAGGATCCTGTGGGGGACTGTTTTCTGTAAAGGGCTGAGGCACAGAGAGAAGGAGGTTCATAGGAGGAGGAGGGGGCACAGGTTCAAAAGGAGACTAAGCCAGGATAGCACTTTCAGGAACTTAACAACTCTTGGGGTACCTTTTTTTTTTTTTTTAATGTTTATTTTTGTGTGTGAGTGTTTGCCTGTAGGTGTGCATGTGTACCATATGCATACTTAATACCCTCAGTTGAAGATAGTGTCAGGTCCTCTGGAATTGGAGTTATGGATGATTGTGAGCCTCAGTGGGTGCTGGGAACCAAACCTAGGTCTCCTTTATGAATAGCAAGTGCACTTAACTGCTGAATCATCTCTCCAGCACCTCTTGGGGGTAATCTTGACCGTGGCATATCTAGCAATGTCTGGAGGCAATTTTGGTCATCACAGCTGGTGCTAAATGCTCCTGGCATCTGGAGGTGGAGGCCAGAGTGCTGCTCACTAGCCTCAGTACACAGATGACTACCACAGAGGACAGTCCAGCCCCAGTGTTAGCATGTCCTAGGTGAGAGCCCTCTGCCACAAAAGGTTCTAGGAGGCTATGAAGGTAGAACTTTGTGAAGGCAGCTAACAGAGGTTAGGGCTGCTGAGAGAAGGCAAATAGGGGCATCTAGGAGAGAAAGTGAAATGCCAGGGCCACCTACTGTCTTGGCCTGTCCTGAGGCAAGAAATCTTTGTGATAAAGATCACAGAGTTTTGAGTGGGGTGACTCTGGGCTGGTATTAATTTTAGACTAGACTAGCCCAGAGCTGTCCCTGGGTTTGTCAAGAGGCATTCCTTGGCACCTGTCCTGAGTTGCATTACACTCAAGACTACAAGAGCCCAGTCAGACTGCTCAGGAAATGAAGCACCCCAAAACATTGATTGGGTATCATGGGAGGAGGACATGAACAAAATGTTGAGACTGGAAGGGAGGTGGGGACCAAGGATGAGTGTAGTGACAAGGGAAGAACTCATTGTTTTGCAATGAGCAGAGAAAAATCTGAGGATGCTGTCTTAGGGTTTCTATTATATGAAGAGACATCATGTCCATGGCAACTCATAAAGGAAAACATTTAATTGGGTCTGCTTACAGTTTCAGAGGTTTAGTCCATTATCATCATGGTGGGATATGGTGGCCTGCAGGCAGATGTGGTGCTGGAGAAGTTGCTGAGAGTTCTGCATCTTAATCTGCAGGCAATAAGACGTGAATTGTGTGCCACACCAGGGATTTCTTGAACATAGGAGACCTCAGAGCCTGCCCCTACAGTGATACACTTTCTCCAACAAGGTCACATCTCCTAACAGTGTCTTTTCCTATGGGAGCCATTTTCTTTCAAACCACAGATGCCAAAGAGCCTTCATCAGCCTTCTAACCTACAATTCTGGAAGTTGAACTTTCCTGGATTCCTTCACATTAACAGGAATGTCTGGGACCTGGCATCTCATGGGGCTTCAAACTGTCCAAAGATGGCTCAGTAGGTTCAGGCTACTAGGCCAAGGTAATGCTAGCCACAGAGGGGCTAGAATAAGGATGGATGTAAAGTGAGAATCTAAAGTTCAAGGTGGCTCTGGACACAGGTACAGGGATGGAGATAACCAAGTTTGTGTAGGGAGACATGGAGCCCCATAGGCCTTCAGGACTACCACATGTCTGTCTCTCTGGCTACCTTCTTTCCCTGCATTATAATTTAGCAACTCAGCAGCAGCAGTCTGTGATAGAGTCAGATACATCCCAATATAGGAAATTAGTATAAGGGATGATTCTGGGGGAGAATCTCTCTTGTTTGGTTGGTTGGTTGGGTTTTTTTTTTTTTTTTTTTTTTTTTTTTTTGAGACAGGGTTTCCCTGTGTAGCTTTGGAGCCTGTCCTGGAACTAGCTCTTGTAGACCAGGTTGGTCTTAAACTTGCAGAGATCTGCCTGCGTTTGCCTCCCAAATGCTGGGATTAAAGGCGTGTGCCACCACCGCCTGGCTTGTTTTATTTTTTGAGACAAGTTCTCACTATGTATCTCTGGGTGGCCTGGATTTTCTAGAGATCCACCTGCCTTTGTCTCCCAAGGTTTGGAATTGAAGGCATACACCACCACACCTGCTGAGATTCTCACTCTTTGTGTTAGGTTTTATACTGAGTACCCCATGTTCCTTGATCTTACCTTTAGTAGACACATATACCTCTCATGAGATCTACTCAATCCTTGAATTGATAAGAGGAATAAAGTTAGGCCACTGTAGGAGACCTATTCCTCCTCTTATTCCATGTTTGAGCAGAAATATTCCACCCAAGTAGAACTGAGCATTTGGACTTTGTTCCTGTGTGATTATTTACCCACAGCATTGGAAGAGCTGGAATGGGCTGATGTCCCTCTTAGACCACTTGTCCATTGTTGCTACTATCTCAGCCACCACGGAAAGGCTTCTGTCTCATCACAACCCATCTGTTCAGATCAGACATTACAACCTCCATTATTAAGGTCCAGTGACTCATGGTTTAGCTCTACATCCTGCCCAATATCCGGCCTTGGCTTCTAGTACTCCATCAACATTTATGGGACATGTCTGTATTAGAGATGTTAGAAGTAAAGGTATGAGATGGCCTTCAGGATGCCCTGACCAGAGGGCAAATAGCTGTCCATAAATCACTAGCCATTACAGGCTGGGTCACTCCTAGAATGAAGGTGTGGCTTTGGTTAGTGCCAGTCTTGGATAGAAATTTGGCTTGATCCTGCTACAGAGACACTGGGAAATGGCACAGGGACAACAAACAAACCTATGTGCACCTGCCCCAGTGTAGAGGTCCAAGTGAGGGTACACTCTGCTGTAGGTAGGCAGCTACCTTGTATCCTGGAAGAAGTGGTTCTGGTGGATAAGGCTAGATCTTCGCATGATACCTATTAATTTTAGATTTCTATCCTAAGCGCCTTTGAATAGTCTCCAGAGGCATCCAGTAAAAGAAATGACTGCCTTAGTGACAGACATCCACAGGAACTTGATTGAGAGCTCTATGCTTTCTATTGAGTTTATTTCTTTTTCTGAAATTGGAGCCTGTGTCCACAGTTTTCAACATCATGTTAATGTTCCTGAGTTGAAAATTACCAACTTATAATATAGAAAAGCTTGCAGAAGACAGTGATGACCTGACTTACTTTAGCTGAAAAACCCTGTCTCCTCCTCGTACAGGTTGCTACAGGCACTGGAATGCAGATGGGAGTGCTAGCTGTGTCCGGTGCTGGAATGGAACCTTCCCGACATACAACGGCTCTGAGTGCAGAATTCGTATGTCTTCTCCTGTACTACCCTATCTTCCCTATACTTGACAAGGGTACTCATGTCCAATTTGGGGAGAACACTGTACTTGTCCTCTCCAATGGTGGTACCCACCTTATCAGTGAGCAGCCCCTTGGGTCCCTCCCTGAGTATTCTGTTCACGAAGGACAGCTGTGGGTGAGAACTGCTCCTTGCTTTCTCATCTCTAAACTGAGATGTCCCTTAGTTCCATATGTGGAGGCCTCAGTAGGGTCCTGGGCTTGGCCCAGGCCTCCCCTCAGTTCTGCTCTCCCATAGTCACTGGCCGGGGCATGCAGTTTCCCATGAACAGAAGCACAGGGACTCCTGGACAGCCACATATTGGTAAGTCTCTTAGTTCATAAGTCCAGAACTGTGCTTCTGCTTAGGATCTGGGGCTTGGGTTGGGGCTCATCATCAGAGCTGATATTTGTATCAATGCTAATCTTGAAACACTGAGGCCACAGCAGACATATCGATGGTAAAGTTTTTTTTTTTTTTTTTTTTTTTTTTTTTGGCAAGGAGCTGTGGTCAAGGAAAAAGTCTGGAGTCCAGAATCCCCTGGGCCTGGGATCAGTTGGGTTGGGTGTGGGTACAAGTTGGGGCTCCATAAGAGGAAGATACTTCAAGGTCTCCCTTTTTAGCCTCAGTTAATAGTAGCCATTGCTGCTACATACTTATGCTTAGCCTTTGTCTCATTCTATGTCCACTCTGACCCCCAGGCTCTGGGGATTGAATCGCCACATCCCAACTTGCTCTTATAGGATGTAGACTGCTGATGAGACTGCAAACACATGGCCCTGATCTGTTTTCAAGGAAGGGACAGCCCCTGTCTACCTGATGTCTGTATCTCCAGAGTCTTCAAGCCTAGCTTAAATGATGGCCTGAGGAGTAAAGGATGTTAGAATATGTCTGGGGTAGCAGTGTGGCCAGGCAAGCAAGAGAGAGAACTAGGATGGTGCTGGTAGAGAGAATATGCCCAAGTCAGAGGAGCCCCATGGGTTAGGGAGCTCAACAGTGCTGGGTCCTAGGCTTGGAGGCCTGTTCTAAGAGGGCTCAGTCCTTCCCATGGGTCTTAGAACCCATCCCCCCTCTCAACCAGAAATTGCACTTGAAGGTGCTATCCTCAACAGTGGAAGGCAGTTACATAGAACAATGGTGTTTGGGGTGGGGTTAGTATAAACAAGACCTTAGCCACATCTATTGCACAGTATAATGAGACAGAGCATGGTCCATGGAATCTTCCCATAGCTGGCAGTTACACTGTTCTTCAACCCCTAGCATGTCCTGACAAATGGAGCAGTGCAGGAGGCCACTGCATGGATCAGAAACAGATGCAGTACCTGCTGCCAAGCTGGAGGCTTGATTCTCACTCCAAGAGACTGAGGCCATTCTATTTGAGAGAGCCCAGGGCCTGATACTTCTAGAGCCTGGAATTAGCCTGGGCCAGGAGAGAGTGGGCAGTATGATATCCCTTGTCTTGTGGCTAGGTGTGTTGGGCTTGTGGAGGAGCCTGAGTACAGAGCCCTCACTCTGACATGTGGCTGGTGCCTAGTAGAGGCTCAGGTATGTTTAGGGAATGGAGGACCCCAGGGATTAAGCAGGGAGCACTGGACATCTATCCCCCAAGACCCAGGCTCTCCTGGCAGCTGTTGGTTTGCCTGCAGGGGGTCCTCATGTGGCTGCTTCCCTCTTCCTGGGGACACTCTTCATCAGCACAGGCCTCATCCTCTCTGTGGCTGGGTTCTTCTACCTCAAGCGCTCCAGTAAACTTCCTGAGGTTTTCTACAGGAGAGACAGAGGTACTTCCTCCTGTGGCTAAGTTTCCACCTGCCTAACCTCAAGGGTACTGTCCAGTGTTTATCCCCACTCATGGTATAGATGGTCCCCAGTGGGTACAGAACAGGCACAGGGACTCCACTGTGCCCAGACTCACCAACACAGAGGGCCTTTGGATGCTCTTATGGCTGAGAATGTGAGTCTGGGCCCTGCTGCTTAGAGTTCCCAAGGTAAGAGATGTGGCTGAGCAGCTGTCCAGGCTCCAGGTGCTCAGGGCACTCAGAGCTGAGGCAGCTGCTGGGCAGCAGAGTGACATGTTGTTTTCTTCCCCAGCCCCTGTCCTGCAGCCTGGTGAAACAGTAAGTAACCTACCCAACTAGGCTGAGCAACCTGGGCTGTGTGTACCTGTGCCAGGCCATCCAAGTCTCACTTTGCCTTTCTCTTTTTAAGGCTGCGATGGTCCCCCTGCCACAGTCGTCAGGTACAGTTTTCAGCATGTTATGGGAGTTGGGTGGAAGGGTTTACTGTGGACCAGTCTTCAAAGCATATTCTATGGTTTTATCCCCATGAAGGTCCCTCTCAGGGACCTGACCTGCCTTCACACATTCTAATAGGCTGTTCCATAAGGCAGGGGCAAGGACAGGTGCTCAGCAGACATGACTCCTCTTCTTTTCCATCAGCTACGTAGTTTCCATGCTGTTTTCCCTCCTCAGCTTAGGGCCAGACTTCCTACTTCTTCTGTCGTCATATCTAAGTCTAGCAGTGCTTGAGAGTTGTCAGTTCTTGAGCCTTTCGCTGCCAGACCTGTCTGAACAATTGTAACCCACTGTGTAGAAGAGGCCATGAGCACAGAGAGGTTGACTGGCCTGTAGTTACACAGCTGTGAGCCCCAGAGCAGATTTATTTAACTTCTTACCCCACCCTGTCTCATTGTCTTCACTGTGCAGAGGTCTAGACTACACCAGTGGCAGTGTCTCTCTCTTCCACTTTGTTCCAACCTGTCTCAAGTTCTCTAAAGCAGCCTTGCCCCTGAGCACCTTACAGGTGTTGTCAGTGACCTGTACCACCATACAGCAAAATGCACATACTAGCCACTTCAAGAAAAGTGTATCCCTTGATAGTTTTTGGAGCCTGAAATTAGAAATCAAGATGTTGACGTGAGAGACATGTATTCCAAGGCCTGGTGGATGGGGAATCCCTCATGTCTCTTCCAGCTCCTAGTATCTCATACCTCCTGTGGCTTTGTGGCCATATCATCCATGTCGCTCTTTCCCTCTGAAGAGGATAATAGTCATTGGATTTAGAGCCTACCTGGTTAATCTAGGATGATCTTACCTATCCTAATAGAATTATATTTGCACAGTCTTTTTTAAAATTATGGTTATGTTCATAATTTTCAAAGCTCGGGATGTGACCCTGTCTTTAGACATCCAACTCCCCATAGAGCATAATGCAGGGATAGTCTATGCTTCAGTATTAAGGAGTAGCTGCGCTCTGATTCAGGCCCTGGGGATCTGATAAGAATCAGCTGAGCTCATGGATGCCTCCATCAGAAGAAACTGCCTTTGCACAAGTAGAGCCTAATGAGAATCACTTCCTTGTTAGAATGACATGGGCTTTGTGCCCTGTGGCTGTTCACTATGCTCCTGGGAGCCTATAGTACTGGCAAAGACCTGAACTTTACCTGTTTCTGATTCAGCTTATCTCTAACCCCATTTCAGTGAGGAAACCAAGATACATCAGACGTGAGCAGCACCCAGACAAGACTAGGGATCCTTCTGCCTTCTCCACAGTGGAGGCCCACATCAGCAACGTCTGACCTGGAGGTCAACTGAGTCTTCACAGCACAGCATTGGAGACCCAAGGCTCCCCTCCAGTGAGCTCAACAAAGACAGGGCCTGGGGCTTAAGATAGGCCAGAATTGGCTCCCAATGACAGATACATACAAATGCTGGGGGGGGGGTAACCTCCATGTCATGAGATCTTCTGTCCCACCCTTACTGTGTGGTTTAACAGGACTAACCATCTGTTTGTGAGACTTGGAGACTCAAGAACAAGTCGGAGTCTGGACCCCTCAGGAGTCACAACAAAGTTCCAACATCTGTAACAGCTACAACACAGGCCTGATTCAAATGGTCAAAACTTCTGGAGGCCACCGAGTGGAGCCCACTGTTAGACAGGACTCTATCACCACAATGCTAAGAAGAATGAAACAAAGGCCCAGACAGTGGAGAAAACAACCTGAAAACTGGTACCAGAGATAGGATGCTCCATCATTGGTCTGCTAATTTATCTGCTGACCCCCAAGGCACACATTTCTGAGAGTTGCAGACTTGAGTATCTTGGGTTTCCTGATTCCAGATACCAGCAGAACCTAGTGTCCCAGGGACATACCTGGGTACACAAAGTGAAATGTTTGCCCACAAGGCCTCCATATCTGAACACTTGCAGGTCACTTGTGTCATTGAGTTTGTGAGTGTATGCTTGTCAGTGGTCCTATCCTTGCTGTTCCAAGCATCCAGAAGCAGTGCCTGTGAGCTGCTAGTGTGAGTGGTGGCATTGGCCATATGCTTCTGTGTAAGAAGGTACCCTGTTAACCAATGCCACCCTCCCTCTATGGGTCAAGGGTCTCTAGCATCTTCTTCAACATCTGGCCCACATCTGATCTTACTAACAGGGACATGAGCTTACTTTCCCAGACTTGAACCAGTGGCTAAGGTAGGAGCAGTGATTTAAAGCTGGACCAAGTAAACTAAACTAGATCTTCTCTCCTCTAGCCTTATTACCTACCCCAAGTGTCATCTATTCAATGTGTGTGGGCCAACTGCCCCATTGCCATGCTCAGTGGACAGGGAGTCAGAGAAGCAAAGAGGGGCCCCTCAGCAGGATCCAGGACCTGCCATCTGTTGTCTGGTGAGACTGGCATTACAACACAGTCCATCCCTATCTGTGACCTTGCCAGTTCAGAACGCTGTCTTATATGAAGTGACTACCAAGCTCCTTAGGACTTGAGATAGCTTGCCAATCACATGTGCCATGGTCCTGCAGATAAAATTACAGATGTAGTTCTGTGTGGTGGTGCACGCCTTTAATCCCAGCACTTGGGAGGCAGAGGCAGGTGGATTTCTATGACTTCAGTCTGTTCTACAAAGCAAATTCTAGAATAATCAGAGCTATACAAAGAAATCCTGTCTTAAAAACAAACAAGCAAAACAACAGATTCATCACTAGTTTTATGGGGTCCACTGACAGTTTATGGATCTAAGTCACCCTTAGGGAAAACAGGACCCTCTATGCTGTCCACCTGAGTTCAGCTTGGTGGTCTCACTCAAAGCCCATGAGTAGATGTGGAGATGTTTGTCTGCTGGCTAGTGGAGGAATGCAAAATGAGTGCATAGGGATTCTAGAAGTCTTGTCTGTAGTGGTTTGAATAAGAATGCCCTCCCATGGGCTTGTATACCTGAATGCTTGAGATGAATTAGGAGGTGTGGCCTTGTTGGAGGAGGTATGTCACTGGGGTGGGCTTTAGGGTTTCAAAAGCTCTAGCTGTTGCCTGTGGGTCTGGATATAGAAACTCAGCTCCTTCTCCAGTACCATGTCTGCCTGTGTGTCACCATGCTTTCAGCCATGCTGATAATGAACTACCTTTGAAACAGTAAGAGTCCCAATTAAATGCTTTCCTTTATTAAGAGTTGCTGAGGTCATGGTGTCTCTTCTTAGCAACAGAACACTGACTAAGACACTGCTCTTGCTTTGTACCTTCTGTAGCTCTCTTTATATACTGGTTAGAGAACTGTGGCCCAAAACATCTGCTAAACCCTGAAATGGAGTTTGGCATCCAAAGAGCATCCCTCTATGCTTGGCCGTATTTCAGATAGTGCTGGGGAGTAAGATATGTCAAGCTAAGGTGTAGGCTTCTAGACACAGATTCTTTGTTCTGAAACCAAAGACCTTGCCCAGGGGACAGGATGTGAAATAGTATAAGCAGCAGGATGTCTGACCCAGCATTCTTTTTCAGCAGCTTGACACCCTAGGGCCTAAAGCAGGGTTGGCAGCTCTAGCCAACATAAGCACCTTAAGGCCTAGGGTTCCCCAGTGTGATTTCTAATGAGAATTGGAAAGGGACATTGGCAGCAACAAGGGAAGGCAGCATGAGAAAGTGTCTGGGACCACAGATTGTTCCTCTCCCAGCTCCTCCTGAGTAGCCAGTGCCCAAGCACTCCAAAGTGGAAACCTCAGATTATTCTAGCCACTACCATGTGTCACCCATTTCCCACCCCTCCACTTTCTGGTCCCTACAACCTCATTCCTTCATATGCTCAGTGATTTTTACTGGGCAGCACTGGAAGTGTTCCAGAGCCAGCTCATTAAGGATGGGTGGGACAAGAAAGGACCAACAAGAGCATTAGGAGGTAGGCCAGGCCAAGGACCCCTAAAGTGATAGGACAGGGTTGGTCCTGCTTGGTCACAAGCACTGGAAGAACTGATACAGGACAAACCCACCAGATGGTACTAAACAAGAGTCTTTCAGATAGGACTTTGGGGACTTTGTCCTCACTACTGGGTACAGAAGGACACCATTGGTCAGGGCATCTATGTCCAAACAGTATGAGACCAGGTCTACATCCAGCCCTAAAATGTGAGGCAAAATGCCAAACCCAGTGGCACCCCCTACCCGAGTCTACCTGTTCCATCTCAGCACCCATGTTCACCCTATTTGTGGGGAAACCAGTTTCTACTCAGCTACCAGCTGAGACCTCAGGAGGAGTTCAGACCATAGGGCAACTAGTACCAAATAAGAATATGCAGGCAGCCTCCCATATCCATTGTTTGGGAAATAGCAGACTAGCCAGCAGAGGACTAGCACCAGGCAGCAGAGATGAGAGGTGGGCCTAAGACTGAACCTAAAAAAGGTCCTGGTCTTAAAAGACCTCATACACTAGTAATACCTAGTCTCCCTAGTCAGGGACTTGCAGCCAGGTCCACGGCTTTGGTGGTGAGCACCGTAGTCAGGGTAGGTTTGGGAGCACTACTGAGAGGCTATGACCTCTTTGGTAAGGATTGGGTGAGTAAGCTAATCCTAGGGATGTGAGGCCCAGAGTGAGGAGATAAGAAATAAGGTTGGCCTTGTGGGGACATGCTAAAACAAATGCATACATATGCTCAACGATAGTAGTATGTTGATGTACACATCACTTGCTTGGTGATTTCTGTCACTTGCCTGCTGGTTAGGATAGGGTCAAGATGGACCCCATTTACTGCCCTTGACAGTGTAGTCTAAGTTCTTCCTGTACTGGCTGGAGCTCCTCCAAGTCCTAGTCCCTCTGTCAGCAGGGAGTTGACTCTCCTGAGGTCAGGCCTAGGAGATTCCTAAGTCCTCACAGCATACTTGCCTCTGGACATTGACTGTTCACTGGGTAGCCTTGGTGACCTCAGAGCTTGGATATTCCCAGGAGCCCTCTGAAGATTGTTCCTAGAACATCTGAGACTCCAGCTTCCTAAAGGTAGCATGTGACACAGAGTCATACTCTACACAGAACACTTGGACTGGGCCCGTAGCAGCTTTTCCTCCTTAGCACCCTTACTTATACCCTCTACAATCCTGAACCCTTCAAAGACTTCATCTCCCTCCTTAGATACCCACCTGCTCTCTGGACCTCTATTTTCCCTTGAGCCTGTAATTACCTGGGCCCCATTTTTGATTACTAGCACTCATGGAATTAGGTAGGAGAGCCTCAATTCTTTCAAAGCTCAGGCCCCTTTCCTCTGATAGGACATCATCCCCAGGTTCCCACAAACCCCCTCCCCCATATCTTAGCTCCCTTCAAAGTTGGCTTTGATCATAAAAATATCTAGGAGCAAAATTGTGGCAGCTTCTGCGGATCTGGACCATTGGGTGGTCCATGGGTACTTTCGGGTAGTTGAATACCTAAAGGCAGCCATTCCTCCCAACATGATGAGGTCTGTCCTAGCAATAGAGAGCTCCCATATCAGGACCCCACAATTCACTGTGCTTGGCCAGAAGAAAACTAAACCTCAGAGACAGGGAAGAACCTGGCCTGACCAAAGTGGATGGGGAAGAGAAAAGACCACCAGCGTTATTAATTCTGGTCAGCAAGAATATCTCAGCCCAATGGACCTGGGGGGCCAGTAGCTGCCTGTGCTACTGCTCACAGTCTCCAGTCCACCCCACTCCAGTGTGGCACTCCCTGCCCCTAGATGCTCCTTGCCCACCAACTCCTTTGAACACTTTCTTCTATGTCACCTGATCAAAGTTTCTTGAGATGCCATCTTTCCAAGAACACCTACAGGCTAGGAGCTTCCTTCCTGGAGTGTGGAACAAATGGTGCTCACGCAGGTACCCATAGTCTACAGGTAGCCAGCCTGGGTCATCATCATCATCATCATCATCATTATTATTTGATTTTCAAGACAGGGTTTCTCTGTGTAGCCTTAGCTGTTCTGGAAATAGTTCTGTATACCAGACTGGCCTGAAACTCAGAGTTCCATCTGCCACTGCCTTCAAAATTTAAATTAAGGGATTAAAGGTCTGTACCAACTTGGCCCACCATCCAGGTGGTTGCCCAGGCCTGACTAGCCATGACCTCTGACCCCTACTTCCTGCACTCCAGGACAAGGAGGTTCCCAAAGGCAGTAGTGTTCTGAAGCAGCAGCAGATGAGGGTTTTGCATGAAGCAATTGTGAGAATATAGGTGAAATGGGAGAACAAGGGTCAGGACATTGGTGGACATAGGTAGATGGGGCTGTGTCTAAGTGTGTGCTAGGCTCATTGAAGGATCCCTTCTGAGTACACTTGGGACGAGATGGGCACACTTGCTTTCCAACAGAGAGGGGCTTTGAATACCTGAGCATCTGCTCTCAGCCTGGAGTCCTAAGACCAGAGCCCTGTTCTGATCCTAGACCCATCCTGACTAACCCTTTCCCTGGCTCCCCACCCACTCAGGGCCTGCCAGGGAGAGACCAGCCAATCTCTAGTGTTCAGGGCCACACCCCCAGCTGCCATCACCTGGAGGGTATAAATAACCCTGCTTCAGAGCTCATGGCCTGAGAATTCACACTGTCACAGTCAGCCTGCTCCTGGATGAACACATACATCCTACCTCCCATTCCCACATACACACAGAAGAGGCACACCAGCTAGACCGGTGCCACAAGAAGGTTTGACTGCTGGCCTGTGGAGGAACACCTACCAGGTGGAGCGGAGGCTGGGCTAGAACTGAAGAGGAGGAAGAAACTCTGCTAGAGCTGGTCAGCCTAGAGGCACAGAGCTTTGCTGTGGCTGATGAAGAGGACCATGCCCAGCAACTGCTGACTCTCAGCTACCAGGTAAGGCCAGCTCAGCCTGTACTCACCTTTCACCTATGCAGTCTCAGGGTGAGGTCCCTTCATGGAAGGTGAGGCCTTGTGCCAAGGAACCAGACCTACAAGCAGCATAGGTCAGGGGAGGATAGACCTTGTCAAGACCACTGCTGCATCCAGGAAGTGGTGACACTGAATGCCAGAAGGTTGGGGCCCTCATGATGTCACAGTGATGTCAGATGATTCACATAGACCCAGTGATGATTCAGCAATCATTGAGCCATTCTTCTTACTCACACTTTTGGGGTTGACCAGTGAGGCAGGGAGAGGGGTCATCTGCTGTAGCTGCTGGGCCTCATGGATTATAAGGCCAAGACTTTTGTGGTAAAATACTCTTCTCTGGTGAGGATGCCTATGGTTCTTGAAGTAGCCTACAGGAGGTTAATGAACAATACTAGTGGGGTGAGCTGTCAAAGAAGGTCTGGATCTTCTATATCCCACCTTCTCCTTGACAGGCAACTATATGATTCTTGATATTGACAAAACAGGGCAGGTGTGTGTGTATGTATGTGTGTATGTGTGTGCCTGTCTATCTGCTCAAGTGTGTGTGTGGGCATTGCTAAGGAGCATATTTAATTCCTGGCCTCTGGCATTTGTCCCTATCCCTACAAACAAGCTGGCCCATGATTCCAGGATACAGCTGTTAAAAAAAAATTATTAGGCCCCTACTAAGGCCCTCCCTGTTTCTCAGAGCCTTATGGACCCAGCTGTTCCAAAGACCCCAGAATCCTTACATATCTGCTGGCAACTCAGATGTATGCCATACAAATCAGGGACCCATAGTAGGACCAAATTCAAACCCCTTCCACCTGTTCCAGAGCCACAAGTAGCTCATGAGCTTGCAAGGGCCCAGCTTCTAATTGGCTCTGGTCCAGAAGACCCTAGCTAGCTAAGTTACTCCACCTTGAAGTCGCCTTCTCCATATGGAGCTGTAAGTATTCCATGGCATGGGTTCAGCCTTGCAGAGCACAGATATAAATAGCAGTGGCAGTGGGCCACTCTCATCATCAGCATGAGTAAGGATGGGCAACAAGTGTACAGCTTCATGTCTAGCACATGGCCTCTGTTCTTGAAACCCATCTAGACTGACCATGGAATTGTTGGCCTTGTAATGAATGCAAGAGGACAGGTTACAGTTTTTGGAGGTACTTACTGGTGGATAGTGTCTGTCATTGGAATCTTTGGGTCTGATGCTGGGGAAGAGAAGAGGAGGTATGACAGGCTGGCTTAACAGAAAAAGCAGCTCATGATGGCCTGTCTCTGTTCCACAGCTCAGAATCATGTCATCAAGCCAGCGGGTGTGGCATACAGCTATGCCACCCTCCCGCCAGAGCAGCTGCACAGCCACAGTGCCCAGGTCTCCTGGCACAGTTGGCAGCCCCAGATCCCCCGGTACTCCTGGCTCAGAGAAGGTGGCCTCCCCACTGGAGTGTTCCATCTGTTTCTCAGGCTATGACAACATCTTCAAGACGCCCAAGGAGCTCTCCTGCACTCATGTCTTCTGCCTTGAGTGTTTGGCTAGGCTGGCGGCTGCCCAGCCTGCAGGCCGTCCTGGCAGAGAAGCTGTGCCCTGCCCATTCTGCCGGCAGCCTACAACTGTACCTGCTGCTGGGGCTCCTGCACTGCGCACCAGTCGACAGCTACAGGCCAAGATGCCAGTGCACCTACAGAAGGAGGAGCCTGTGTGGCTTGAGGGCACCAAACTATGTTGCCGCCCCTTGCCCACCACTTCTGGCCAAGAGGCCAATGACTTTGTGTGTGTGGATGTAGGCCTGAGCAAACCACCTGAGCCCACCCTACCTGCACCTGTCCAGGATCCTGAACCCAACCAAGGTTATCTGGCCCGCTGTTGGGCGCGATTTGGAGACTGGCGTCGTGTAGCACTGGTGTCTGTGCTGTTGCTGATGCTATTTTGTGTGGTACTCTGGCCTGTGCAGTGTGCACTCAAGACTGGAAATCTGCGCTGCATTAACCGGCCACCTTCAGCCACTGCCACTGTCACCCCCATTACCAATGCCCTCTTTCTTGGACCTCTAGGCAACAACTAGGGTCAACACTTGGGCCAGGCCAGCTATCCCACTTGCTCCATGGATGGATCCTGACCTACATAGGTCAAGAACACGGCTTTGGAAGTTGGTCCCCCAGAACCAAGGACACATATGTGTCCCTCACTCTCTAGGGCTAGGTGCCAATGGGGACAAAAGGGTCTTCAAAGCCTCTAAGAAATGCAGGCTTCTAAGAGCCCCAGAAACTGCCCTCTGACCCTCTGACGGATGGGGAAAGGAACCCAGGAGTGTCTGGTCAGGCCTCTGACACACTGAATTGCCAAAAAAAAAAAAAATTCTTTTTGTTGAATTAAATTTATTCATTTATTTTGCATCCCCTTCCTTTCATAAGACATTTTACCAGTATCCCTCCTTTCTCTGGGAAGGGTTGGACCTTTCCCCTTGGTGGGGATGCTGAGCAGCTAGTTCTCTTAATAAGAGTGAAAATGAAAGAGCAAGATGTCTCTGCCCATGCTGTAGCAGCGACTGGCCAGCTGTCTCTGGCCATTGTGAATGGTACATTTTAAATAAATTATTTTGTATGAATATTGTTTCTCTATGTTCTGTCTCTCCATCCCCCACCATTCAGTTTGTATTGTTAGAAAGTCTCCCACTCCGCATCCCCACAACTCAGCCTCCACCCAGGTATCCTGACTGGATCACAGTAGGACCAACTTGGGACAGTTGGGGAGGTGGGCAGGAACCAACACTCATCTTTTCCTGGCTTCAGAAGGGTGAGGACAACTCTTGACTTGGCGGCTATCCAACCCCATGAAGCTGAGAACTAGTAGGTAGCCTGAAAACCTGTAGACCATAGGACCTTTCCAGAAGATCCTTAGCCTTCTTTGGGCCAGCCTGGATACTGAAACATCAAAGTTTAATGTCATAAGGATCTCTGCCCAACTCACATCCATTCAGGTTCTGCCATTAGCTCTAAGAATTCTATGTTACCAGGTTGAGTATGGCCAGGAGAGCCCAGGCCAGTTCCAGCTTGGGCAGGTCTCAGCCTCTTCACCTCTCACCCCAAAGCCCAGGTACTTCCTGTTCTAACCAGCTGAGCCTTTGGCTAGGGCAAGCAGGAAGTTTAGGTAGGTCCTAGAGAATCTGGGTCCAGCTGCTGGGGCGGAGGGTGGGGGGAATAGGGGAAGACACATAACACCCAATACACCTTAGGCCCTGGTGCCAATAGATACAGAACTGAGAGAACTTTACCAGTTGCCACAAAGCCACAGACCACCTGTGATGGGGACTGGTTCTTTGATGTCCCATGGGTTAGTGACATTGCATCTTGTCACACAGTGATGCACACATTTGGGGCCACACCCATGTCACTGGGAGGGCCAAGCATGTGAGAATGCCTATATGGTCACATGAGCATCTCACATTCACATGTGCCATCATTCCACAAGCCTTATCCACTATGACCAAAACAACGTTGAGTCACCACAAGGATGAGATCCCAGACCACCCTGAAGCATGTAGGGTTAAAGACAGGGCACAAGGAAGCTAGATTAAAGTACAGATCAAATCAGGCTCAGATTATCCCTATCCTTGTCGCTAAGGTCACACACAGGACCACACAGTGTCTGGAATTGTGGCACACACAGATCTACTCGCACAGGTCCACGTGTAGTCACTTGTCACAATCCTGTTGCCACATTTCAGCTGGGTACCAGGAACCTGGCCACGACACGGAGATCTACAAATGCTCCTCCCGCTGCTGGAACCCTGGCATATCTGGACTGAGGAGCAGATTCCTAGGATGCTAGTCAAGACTAGTCAGAAAGGGGTACCCCAGGGTTCCCTTGCCACCTGTAGAGCCCAGGTTCTTCTGGCACCCGGTCCTGATCCCCGTCGAGACTCCCCAGGCACCCAAATTGCCACAGGCTGCAGGTACTGCTGAGGTTGGGGCTATAGCTAACTCCAAGCCTCCATTCAAATATTCTCAGTGCTCACTCTGTAGAAGGGACTTGGTGCCAGTTCACCTTTGCATGCTGGCGCCTCCCCTCCCAACCTGTTCTCACAGTAGCAGCTTCAGACCTTGTATTATCGCTGCGGCGGGCATCAAGTTGCAAGCCTTCCTGAGCCAGCCTCAATCTGAACCGGTGGTGGTCGTTGCTTATTATTCCAGAAGTCAATGTGTTAGTCCAAACAAGGGGAATATAGAGTTGGGCGGGGGAGGGGGGTGGAGGGAGAGGCCCGGCAAGGGCAGGCTAGATGGGCGTGACCTAAATGGTGACTCAAAGAGAGGCGAGGAGGAACGGGGTGCCGGGGTGGGGTCAGGGAGGAGGCGGAACCCAGAGAGAAAGGTGGCTCTTTGGGGAAATACCCAGCGGACAAAGGTGAGTCCTGAGGTGGATTCATGGGACAGAAGAGGGAAGAGGTCTCTAATTAGTAGGGGTTATGCTGTGAGGCTCAGGAGTCTGCGTATTAGATGATGCTGTTGGTGTGAGCGATACCGGTCCAATGAGAGCCACTGGCAGCTTGTTGGACCCATAAGGATCCCGGTGGCCCATTCCCCCGGTCACACCTGAGGTACACTACACACTATTTCTGGCTTTGACTCGCAGCCCTGAAACAGGTTCATCGCCTCCAGGAAGCTGAGGATGTCGGCGGGCTCCAGTTGGACTTCTTCAGCCTTAGTGGAGTCCGCTAAAGTACCACCAGTGCTTCGCAGTGCCAGGGCTTGAGCTGGAGCCTGGTGCTCGGTTGTGGAGTTCACGGATGAGAAATACGCATTGCTGGGACCTTTGTGGATGGACACGGAGATGAGCCACAAGTGATCACTTAGAGGGACTGTTGATGGACCACCCTAAAAGCTCAGATATCACCTTGGGTTTATAGAAAAGTTTCCCTCATCTCACTCACTTTAACTGCTTCTCTGTGGTACCAATGTTGTTATCTGCTAGTGTGGGGGTGGTAGAAAACCCTAAGAGCAAGGAGCAGTCCTTCTTAAAGGGGCCAGCCCTCGTTTTCCACATTGGCCCATGTTGACCTGACTTCTTCACTGGGAACTGGATGACCAAGGGAAAAAAGGGTCTCCATGTATTACCAGGACACTTACCCTGACTTGAAACAGGTAAGTACTTGAGAATGGGGATATCAGAAAGTGTTTGGAAACACTATGTCTCTTTACTTAAGCATGTTTTTGTTTTTGTTTGAGACAGGGTGTCTCTTTCTACTGTCTTGGAGTTCCCTATTTAGACCAGGCTAAACTCATGGAAATTTGCTGTCTCTGCCTCCCAAATGCTGGGACTAAAGTTGTGTACCATGGGGGAGGGGGGCAGTGAGTGGAGAGGGAGTTAGGAGAAAGAGAAGGGGAGAGGAGAACATGTGGGACTAGAAAGGATGAGTCAGGGGACGAATAGATGAGAACAAAAAAAGAGATATCATAATAGAGGGAGCCATTATTGGTTTGAAGAGAAAACTGACTCTAGAGAAATGTCCAGAGACCTACAAGAATGATGCCAACTAACAATCTGAGCAACATTGAAGAGGCTACCTTAAATGCCCTTCCCTGATAATGAGATTGATAACTAACTTATATGCCATCATAGAGCCCTCATCTAGTAGCTGATGGAAACAGAAGCAGACACCCACAGCTAAACACTGAGCAGAACTCCTGGAATCCAGTTGCAGAGAGGGAGGAGTGATAATAAGAAAAGGGGTCAAGTCCAGGCTACAGAAACCCACAGAGACAGCTGACCTGAACAAGGGGGAGCTAGTGGAACCCCCCCCAGACTGATAGCTGGGAAACCAGCATTGTACCAACTCAGACCCCCTAAACATGGGTCTCAGTTAGAAGGCCTGGGCAGTCTAAGGGATCTCTGACAGTGGAACCAGGATGGATCCCTGGTGCATGAAAGGACTTTGGGAGCATTAGCCCCTACTTCAAATGACTTGACAGATTTTAATGATTCCCTCCTGGAAGGCATCACCCTCCCTGTGGAGTGGGTGGGGAATAGGACCAGAGGAGTGGGGGGGGGGCATGGGAGGGAGGGAGAGGGAACTGGGATCGATATATAAAATAAGAAAAAAAAACTTGTGTAATATCACACCCAGCTGCTGCTGCTGCTTCTTTTTCTTCTCCTCTTCCTTCTTCGTTTTCTGAGACAAGGTTTCTCTATATAACTATGTCCTGGCTGTCCTAGAACTCACTCAGTAGGCCAGGGGGGCCTCAAACTCACAGAGATCAGCCTGCTACTGAGTGCTGGGATAAAAGGTATGTGCCACCACACCCAGCTTCTTAATCAAATGTTGAAGATGAATTAAAATGAATAAATATGATTTAGATCAATATATAGACCCTATTATTGAGCATAATCCATAGTTTACAAAAGAGAGAACATTAGATGCTAAGAACTATCAGATAATAGTGTCAGGAGCACTTACCGGGTTTTAACCTGAGAGGAATGACAGACTCAGCAAGTTGGTTTTGAGTATATATTTTACTTCACACTTATATCAGAGCAAAATACACAAGCAGAAGCAAAGTCCTAGGGACCAGAGGTACTAGGCTCACAACTGGGATACCTGTCCAGCCGGCACAGGGCCACAGCTTGAGATGCCTTCAAGATTCCTCAGGATTCAAGCAGCGAGTCCACTCAGGTCTCTGGTCTTGATGTCTGGTATCAGATCAGGCAGCTTTCAGCTTAGTGGACTGGCTTATCAGATGGAGGAGAGTTTCCAGGATGTATCCTTCAGACAGTCATGGTGGGCTCTGTTTCTCAGGCCTGAGCTGGTCCTTAAATACCTGCTTATCAAACTCTGCCACACATACACACTCTTCTTCTTTCTTACCTCTAGTAGTTGGGTAACAAGCCTATGCTCACTTTCCTAATTTCCTTCCAGCCAGGCATCTGCCTGTCTGGCTTCATGCTCCCTACAAACAGAAATAACTATAGAATGAATACATGAGCAAGGCGAATGATTCCTGTAAAAATTTTTAGAATTTGGAATACTGATGGTTTGGAGGCCTTGTGAGACAAAGCTAAGATACCCTCCAGGGACCAACAAACTCCTGGGAAAATTAAAATTCCTTGTCTTCCCTCAGCAACCCAGCATGAAACCTTTAGTTCAGATAAAAGTGACCAAGACTAAAAAGAAGAAAAAGTAATTTTGAAGTCCAAAGAATGGCTGAAATAAGGTCTAAGGTAAGGGCTAAACCAGACTTCACAGGAGTGCCCAGAGACAGAATTACCCTCCTTACAACCAA